GCTCGTGCTAGCTTCACATAGTTTGATAAGGGTATAAGGTGGCTCGAAACAGTTTCCATCACTTTCCAAGAAGTAGATTTTGAATGGGTCATTATAATCACTCTATATCAGTTGATGCCAAAATGATGGTATTAAAAAACTGCCCCATCACTGTCAATTTTGTGGCACTGTAGTTTACCATAGCAAAAATATACTGTAACCTGCTAAAAACACCCTTGATTTTAGCTTTAAGCACTTATATCTCAAAAATGAGCTCAGTGACCCCCATTTTTTATTACTGAATTGTGGTAAACATGATAAGATGCAACTTTTTGCAAAGTCTATGGAGTGGGCTCAGAGCCACATTCCATTTCTGAAAATTTAAGGTTGCTCTGAACCCACCCCACAGAGTATTTTTAAAATTTGCAAAAAGTTGCATCTTATTACGCTTATCACAATTCAGTAATATAATATGGGGATCACCTAGCTTGTTTTCGAGATATACATGTAAGCTCTTAAAGCTAAAATTAAGGGTTCTTTTAGCAGGTTGTATTGTTGCTATGGTAAACTATTACATAAGAAAACAACTTGTTTACCAATGATTGGACACTTGTGTGATACTATTATTATAGCATCACTTGTTAAACAGTGGTAGTATTCATCCTTCAAAGTATAGCTGTTAGAAAAGTGCTTTTCTAAACTTTTGCCAGCCTCGTTAAATGTATTGTTATTGTTTGCAGACAGCAAACATGTTTGAAATTTTAACTCTTAATTGACTTACACAGGTACATGTACTCTCACAAATTATGGTTTTATGGCCAGTTGGAGCACATGCAGAAACCAAACAATAATTATAGCAAATAGATTTGTCATAATGCTCTCCTGTGTTATCTGTTTGATCCTTTAATTTTTAACCATGCAAGATCATTTGACAATGAATGATTATCACCTGCAAAAGTACCCATTACCTGTTCCTAAGCAATTGCCAACCAAAGTCTTGCTGGTGATGGACTCTTGCTCAGCCAGGGTAATTTAGCCAGCAGCTAGAACTTAGCAACAACTCTGCATTGGTAAA